AGCGTTTAAAAACACTCAGTAGCAATATTTTTGATCTAGAGTGGTTTCTGCGGTCCTTCTACTCACTGTGTGAAACACGTCTGGAATTGAGTAGATAACATTTCAATGATTAGGATATTGTTGCACCCTACTTCAGGGACGATTAAAGGCAGCTTTATGTCTTTTGTCGTAAAGAACTACTTTTAATCCTTCTGTCTTGAACACATACTTCAAAGATAAGTGTTATGATTAAAAAGACTGACACAAAAGCTTTTTTTTTTTAAGTTTCTCTTTGCGGAATAAATCGGTTTTCCAGACACCAACTTGCGTGTCTGGTGTACAGTTTCAAAGGTTTGTTCACGGGCTTTCCTTTTATTATTTTCAGCTTACAAACTACTAAGGGCAAATTCCGCGTAGTAAACTTAGGTGTAGAGAAATCAGGGACACAAGAACGGGCTGGCGCATACACCAGGTCCGTCAGACTATACTTACGAGTAAGGAGGTTACAATTTATTTTCCTGATCAGTTATATTACATTGTACAACGTGACACGCGCACTGATTGATTTTCTCGACAATTTAAAGCACCTGGTTATTTACAGAGATAAAAGAGAGCTGAATCAAGAACGCGGAGAGGATAAAGCATCTTGGTATTTTTTTCGTGTTAAAAATACGAAGAGCAATCCCGTGAAGTTAGCTTCCCCAAAAAGAAAACTATGGCCGCAAGAACGTGCTTGGCAAATTTGCCATTTTTCGTCAAGTAGTTACCGTAAGAAAGATTCGAAACGCAAATTTTTTTAAATTGTAAATATTTTGTTTTCTGAATATTTTGTTAATAGTCATATTTTGGTGTAGGTTTTTCACTCTTTCACCTATTACATTTAAGTCCCATTATACAATTCCAGAATCCCATTCAAACTTATCAGGACATGTGGCCGTGCGTTCTTTTGAGCTGGGTTCACGCCGACGGTTGAATGAATGCTATTTCCTGTTTTCGTCAATTTTTTCGCATGCACTTATCACTGTTCTTTTTCAGATTTTTTCGTCGCACCTATTAACATTACTCCGTAGGTGTGGAATACTCAGAAACAATTTATAATACATCTCTTAAAACAGACATGAAAAATATTTTCTATTGCGACTAGAGTTGTCAAGATTAGCGCGACTTCTAATACTTGAGGTTTGAATCTCTTGCTAGATAATAAGACATGTCAGGAACAATCTTCGCGTCGTTTTTTTTGTCTTGAAATTCTATTACGTTTTAGGTGCGGAGGTACTGTAAGAACACTGGTTGACGTGGAAGTTCTGTCAGAACTATTGCTACGAAATTATAGGTGCCATTCTTGAAGGTGTGTCGTAAAAACACCAGTCCGCCTATATAAACTCTGGGATACTACAGATCTGTCACTCTCACTTCTAAACGAGAAACATTCATCGTGTTCCCTAAGGTGCGATCATGTTATTCCCAGTGATCGGTGTCCTGATGTTCTGGCGTTCTGCATTCTGGCGCCCGGATTCCTTCAATTATTATAAAACCTCTCACAAACAAAAAAAAATTTTTTTTAGGTCTTTTATTTAATATATTTGCCTACGTGGTATGTGGGGTTGTTGTTGAACACATGAGTAGGCTGACAATGCATACGCATTTTAGTTCTTATTTCATATATAATGATACCTCGATGACTGAAATACAAGAGTATGTTTTACATAAAACCAGTTAAAATCCAGCGTATTGACACCAGCTGTTCTTGGGCAAAAATACACCCAAGGGATCCACAGTTCCATAAATGTATCAATGCGCAATGTTTTTGTGACTAGTTAATTTCTTTAAATTGTTTTAAAACCTATATTCCCATTCTTTTTGTAGACGACGTTAAAACTGTTTTATGAAACAAAATTGTGTACTTTTAAAGCCAAAATTAATTTCGTTAAAAACAATTCCTAACACAGACAACTGAATTTCACAAGAAAAGAGGGAGAACAATTAAATAAGTTGTAATGGTAAAGTTCCTGAGAATGATATAGAAAACCATTTATTCATTCTACGTAGGAACGTAAATAATTGTTTAAACGTCAAGAGATTCAATAGTCTCTCCCACAGGAACCACCCAAACATACAGCTACGGCTTCGACAGCGTCGACGAGTTAGGAACCCGTATGACCCGTCAGGATACCGAAGATGAGTTTAACAACAAGATCGGATCTTACAGCTACGTTCATGCCTTCGGAGTCGGCCGTGTAGTGAAGTACGTGGCCGATGCCAACGGCTGCCATCCAACCGTCGAGACCAACGAGCCCGGCACGGAGCTCGACCACCTTCACGTGAGCTCCCGTCTTTTTACTTCTTTTGACAAAATCTCTGAAGGTTAAATATCAATCAATTCGCACAAAACAAAGCGCAAACGCGTAGAAAAAAAACACGAGATAAATTTTAAGACCCGGTCGCGGATACGGGACCCGGGGATGGTTTAGAAGGGAAGCTTAAGACGCCGGCCAAATCCAACATGGCCCCCCATCGACGTGATGCTCCAGGGAGCCCAAGACGCCTTCGCCCCCGACCGCTGCGTCTTCGAGGCGCCCACGCTCCAGCGACTCCCATGGATACAAAACGGAATGGTTCAGGGGAGGCTACCGAGCTCAAGACCACCAACCATCGGCATCCCGTCATTGAAAGCATTGAATCGGGAGCGCCGGCGGTCAGGACGGCCCCAACGGTCGACGAGATTCAAGCCGGGACCATTGCCGGCCTCCCGGAATGCCTGGAGGGAGGCCACGCCCACGCGCCCCCGACTCGGCCAACGTCACCCATTTCGGAAGACGGAGAGAGAGAATACGCGCCTCCTGCGGTTCCCCCTTCACCCCCCGGCCGTGCCCCGGACTCACCGGGAGCGTCCTCGACTCAGCGAGAGGCTTCTTCCGTCTCGCGCCCCATCCCCATGCCCGTGGAGAGGGTAATCAACGAGACACCCGAGTTAAGCACCAACAACGGCGAAACAACGGGGGTGAACGTGCCGACATCGAACAGCTTCGAGTGCCTTAGGGGGAACAATCCCGACGGGGAGCCTAGCGTCGGAACAGCAGCACCGACCAGTCATGATTCGCCAGGTGAGCGCCGTCCATGCGGGGTTGCGCCTGCCGAATTCCTCACCCAGGATGGCTACACGCTGGTCACATACCGATCGGAGAGAAAACTCAAAAAGCCAACAGACCAAATCGATAAACTCTACACCGTGCTTTTTCATCCCTCGCTAGAAAGTCGCCCATTCGAAGCAACACAACGGAGCAAAATTTCTAAAGAAATCAGAAGCGCTTTCAGCAAGACGGCCGTCACAAACATCCGACTAAATCCTTCTAAAAACATCCTAGCGGTTGACACACCCTACATTGAAACCAGAGACAGGCTTCCGCTCGTCCGCAACCTGGTCCGAATTCCGGTGCGCTCTTTCCCAGCTACGCCGACAAACGCCTCCGTGGGAACAGTGCATGGCATGGCCGGCGAACACTCTCTACAGGTGATTCGGACTATGGTGGAGGCAAAAGGGACCATCCTGGACATCGCCCGTAAGGGAAAAGGCACGTCAATCTTCGTCTTTTTTGAGGGCCCAAGTATGCCTGACCACGTGACTCTGGGCCCGCGGTGGTACAGGATTTATCCGGCTAAAGAAGAAAAAACGACTCAAAGGGATCGCCATCACGACCGGCAGACCTCCATGGAGATGCCCCCACTCACATCAACATCAATATCGGAACCGCCACAAGCAGAAAACAACCCATGGAAAGGCAGACCTACCTTTGCGCGTGTACTCCATGCAGGTCGGGAAACACCGAGCCGGAACGCAGAGCTCTCTGTGGGCCAAAAACCCACCACCCCCACTCGGTGCCACGGTGCAGCTGTGTCGCAACGCAGGGGAGAGAGATCCTCCTCGAGACACGGGGGCACCTGGATCCGTGGAGACATGGATACTCGGGGGCCCCTATCATCGTCAAACTGCGGCCGCAATCGTCCACTCATGCGGTGCAGCCGAGGAGATGGCGGGATGACCAGACGAGATATGCGCTGCCGATCCGTTCCGTCACCCAGTGAGCGGTCCCAATTGCGGAGAGCGATGACTGGAGGTCGGCATATCGAGCCCTTTGGTTTGCCGGAATCATCCTCCCGCGGTGCATTTTGGCCTGCACGGAGCGAGCCTCCTTTTGGTGACATCGATATGCGACGGACGGGGGCAGTAAGTTGGCCACCGCTTGTTTCGCTGCTCCAAGAAGAACACCAGAGGGAAGAAAAACGTCCTTACACAGACGGGTCCGCCTCCAACGCGTCTGAGAGAAGCCGGAGCGGGAATGACAACAGCAGTAGGCATCCCGCGGAACCAACCAGCCTCCCCTGCAAAACAGCTAGTGGGACTCACCCAACCCTCCCGCATACTTCTCTGGCAGCCGACCCCAACCAGCCTCGGCTCCCGGTCTCCCCAAATGATCGCGGCCGTCCCCCTCCCAGTTCGCCTGAGGCGCACGCTGCTGCTCCTCCTCCTCTCTTCTCTACTCTTTCGAGAGGGCATGCGACACCAGCGCGGTGCATGTGCGGACACTCGGGGAATTCCGCGGAGGTGCTGAATGACTTCCACCAAAAGTGTGTAGCGACGGAAATGATCCTTCATCACACCTTCACTCCACTGGTTAAAGAACTGCTCTCAAGTCTGCTCGAGGCTAATCCACAAATGAAGGGAACATCCGACGAAAACCGAACCCCACAGGAAAATACTAGTACTGCCCGACAACTATCAGACACTCAATCATCACAGCCACATTTCCGAGGGACAGAGGAGTTCCCGCTCCTGCCTTCTCGGCGGGAGACGTCTACAACCGCCGATACCGAAGACTTGGTGTCGCCCGTGCGGAGAAATATCAACCGCGATCGACCTCTGCACCAAGACATAGACACACGCATAGACTAGCTGGAAGGCGAGATGCGCGAAGTAAAGCGCTACTTGAAGACCATCCTTGACAGACTCCCACAACCCAACAATGGCCAAGACAAGTAAAGGTTGCATTGTGTGGCAGTGGAATTGTCGAAGCTTGGCTCCGAAGAGGGGACACCTTCACCAGTACCTACAATCCCTACCACCAGAACGCAAACCAGACGTTTTGGCCATACAAGAAACGTGGAAGGCCATCACCATTCCGGGATACCAAGCCTTTAATCACACCAACTCATCAGGGGTCGTACGAGTCACCACGCTAGTGCGACGGAACCTACCAGCACAACTTCATTCAACCGGCATCGAAAACATCGAGCACACTTTCATCGAAATCTTGGCGGGCAAGAAGAAGAGCCATCGCAGCACGTTCATCCTCAATGTATACAGTCCTCCGAAGGCACGACACTCGTTTCACCAGCTCCTGCGCGCCGCCATAGACATGGCCAAGGGAAAAGCTCTGCTCATCGTTGGAGACTTTAACGCACCACACATGTCATGGGGCTATCCGCGGGACAGCGCTAAGGGTCGGCAGCTTTGGCAGGACATTGCCACCCTGGGACTGGACCTACTTACAGACCCGACGCAGCCAACTCGGAAAGCCACGGGCGGATACAAAGACACATCACCAGACCTCACACTCGGTCACTGCTTGGACGCAGAATGGCACAACACCCTGGAAACTCTGGGCAGTGACCACTATATCCTCAACATCCTCCTGAGACGCGGCCCTACGAAGCCCATGGGAAGGCCTCTGCGAGTGGTCGAGTGGGACACTTTCAGGCAGGAGCTTGACGAAGTGGACCGAGACGGAGAGATCAAGGACCTGGATCAGTGGACCGCAGGCATCAGAGAAGTTGAAGCCTCAGCCACAAGAAACATTCCCGAGGAAGCAAATCTGACCGCGGCGGACAGTCGGCTCCTGCACCTATGGGAAATGAAGACAAACCTTGAGGCACGCTTAAGGCGAAAGAAAGGAAATCGTCGGCTACGCAAGCGAATCGCAACATTGTACAAGACCATCGAGAGTCACGCCACCTATCTCACAACTAAGCAATGGGAAGACACCTGCAACGAGTTCGAAGGAGCTCCCAACACTCCAAAGACGTGGAACATCCTTCGACATCTCCTCGACCCCGGACAAAGCCGAACCACAGTCCGAAATCAGATGGAGTGTATCCTGAACTCATTCAAGGGAGATGGAAACGAGCTTGTCCAAGAAGTACAAAACAAGTATATCGGACGAGCTCCGCCAACACCTGCGATGGAATACACGGGCCAGCCAAACCTTACGCTAGAAGAAGAATTCCGACCCTTCGAAGTCATGGCTGCGATCCGAGAGCTCAAGACCCGCTCCGCTCCAGGACCTGATGGAGTCTCCAACAAGCTACTGCGGCACTTGGATGACAGAGAGATTGACCGGCTAACATCATACTTCAACGTCTGCTGGCAAAAAGGAGAAATCCCAGAATCCTGGAAGACTGCGAAGATGGTGTTTATACCCAAGCCTGGGAAAAAACTTCAACTGGAAGCCCTGCGCCCCATTTCGCTCACGTCCTGTCTCGGGAAGGTCTTGGAGCATGTCGTACTCAATCGCCTTAACAGGTACGCAGAGGCCAACAAAGTCTTCGCGGACACGATGGTCGGGTTCAGACCCAAGCTCTCGACGCAGGACGTGATGCTCCGACTGTATCATCAGATTATGGCAAGGGAATACGCACCCAAAAGGGACACCAGAGCCATACTCGGGCTGGACATCTCCAAAGCATTCGACAATGTCAGCCACGCAGCCATTCTCCGTGGGCTAAACTCCATTGATGTGGGCGAGCGCATCTTCAAATACATACAGAACTTCCTATCAAGTAGGCAGGTGCAGGTCTCGATCGGCGGTTTCCAATCTGACCTGCAAACTCTGGGCGGAGTCGGAACTCCGCAAGGAGCAGTGCTCTCTCCGTTTCTCTTCAATATCGCCATGAAAGATTTACCGACGAAACTACAAGGTATCCCCAACCTTCACCACAGCATATACGCAGACGATGTCACTCTGTGGATGGTAGGAGGAAGCGATGGCGCCATCCAAGACTCGCTGCAGAAGCTATACGCATCGTGGAGGCCTACGCTAAGGAGCGCGGACTAGCCTGCTGTCAGGAAAAGTCGGAGTTGCTACTCATGGCCGGCACCACGGTAAAAACTCCCTCAGGCATCATACTGCAGGTCGGAGGCAAAGACGTCCCTCGGGTCCGGCGACTTCGGATACTCGGTCTGTGGTTGCAGGAGGATGGCAAGAACACATACAGCATCGGAGTCCTCCGTAACCACGCACAGCAGGTAGGAAGACTCATAGCAAGAATCGCCGGAAAACGGTACGGGATGAAAAAGCGGAATGTCATTCGCCTTATCAAAGCCTTCGTGATTAGCCGGATTGCCTACATTGCACCCTTCCTGGACTTGACACTCACGGAGAGGGATGCCATCGATCGCATCATCCGCTGCGTATACAAGAAAGCGCTTCACCTAACACCTTCAACAGAGACCAAGCGACTCGAGAAGCTTGGGCTTCACAACACCCTCTCGGAAATCATTGAGGCACAGAGGATAGCCCACTATGAAAGGCTATCTCTGACCACAGAGGGAAGAACCATCCTCACATCTTTGGGCATCAACTACCACCCAACAGGGCACAGTACGCGAGGCTGGCTTCCAAACGAGCTACGCGAGCAACTAAAGATTTCGCCTCTGCCTCGTCACATGTATCCAGTGCACGACGCAGGCAGACGCATGGCCAGAGTGAAGGCTCTGGAGAACACTCTACAGCAAGGCTACGACGACTCCGAGGTGACCTATGTCGACGCAGCCTCAGCTGACAGGGGTCGAATGACCCTTGCAGTTACGAATCGCTCCGGCCAAATCCTCACGGCAGGCAGCATGTACACCAGCAACAGTGCAGAGGCAGAGGAGGCAGCCATCGCCTTGGCCCTCACCCTCAGCACCACGAAAGTCATCGTCAGTGACTCCCAGATGGCCATCCGCCAGTACATGCGTGGTCACATCTCTGACAAAGCCCTCAAGATCGCCACTGGTCATCGTCTGATTGACCACCCAGTCCGCATACTGTGGTCTCCAGCCCATGCGTCACTCCCAGGCAACGAGAGTGCTCACAGTGCAGCCTGCGCTCTTACCAACCGGGCTAGCACACCAAGTGAGCACTCGACCTCCGCCACGTGGAACCACGACAACCTCTACACCTTTAAGGGGGTGCTGGACCACTACCGAGTAGAACGCCGAGCCTACCCAGAGGCTCACAGCACTCTCAACAAGGCAGAATCCACCATCCTCCGTCAAGTCCAGACGGAGACCTTCCTCAACCCGGCGCAGTTGCACTCGTGGTACCCAGATACCTACGACCCGTCTTGCAGGAACTGTGGCGAGATCGCTACACTCCACCATATACTCTGGGGGTGTCCGGAGCTGCTTCTTCATTCGAAGAATAAGGAGTTCATCAAGCAAGCCAGGCAACCAGGCGCCTGGGAATCCTTCCTGCGGGATCCTGACCCCACGACTCAGAAAATTCTAGTCCAGCTGGCCTCGGACGCCGCCGGGAACATCGCGTTTCGTCTGTCGACCGAATGGATCGCTTCGTCAAGGGTCTCTCCCTAAGAGAGACTCGGTTGACGCGGGGATCTAACAGTCTTGGACCCAATAAAGTTTACCTCACCTCACGTCTGTCCCAGACGACGCTCCGTTCTTCTCTACCGCCGACGAGGGCCCACACCCGGTTGTCACTTAAGGCTGCCCCAGTGGTCGTGCGTGCAGTTCATGTCGCCCCAGTCGTGCATGCTTCTCCCTTCGCCTACGCCAACCACGCTCCTCTCGCCTACGGCCTTGCCAAGTACTTCTAAAGTGGTAATACATTATTGACACATAACTAATATAGCCGTCCTCATTATGACTTTGTTTCGCGTTCACAAGCTATGGGGACATCGTGAGTGAAAGCAGAATATAGCCTACAATCTATGTACCATAGTACCGCATTTTTCGAACTATGGCCCGCTCCCGGATCATAGTCCGCAGGTGCAAATGTGTTGTAAAAAAACTAAAGTTTTTGCTTAGATTGTCCTCACCCTGTGTGTATTCTGCCCTTAGTGCCTAGCCGGTTAGTAAAAATGATCATACCCAGCACACCCTGACACATGCCCCCTGTATTAGCAACAAAAAAGCTTGTATCATACATGAATAATCATTAATATACTCAGTTATTCATAAAATACTTCACGCGTCGTCACACTGAACAATCCTGAAAAAAGCAGATCCTTGCATAGACCGTACCTATACATAGTCAGCAACAGGTAAAATCTCAACTTTAAACACGTGTAATCCGGAAAATGCAATAAAAAACGTTCGTTGGTTAATCTTCGAATTTGGTGGTTAGTTTATTTTTACTCTAACGCAACGTATTGTCATATGAATGAGACGAGACGATGAATGATGAATTGAAAATGAAACTTTAATCGGGGACGAACTTGTGCCATAAACAAAAAAGCGAGGAGGAAAATGGAGGGGGAAAGGGCAGGAGGAAAAAAGTGAAAGCCGTTTACAACTCCCTGTAACACCGAATTAGAGCGCAGCTCTTGAGGAGGAGGAGGGAAGGGTACTGGGGGGTGAAGTGACCTGGGGGGGTCACGTGACCTTGGGGGCCACGTGACGATGCCGATGATATCATCAGTGACGTCACTGATGACGTCATCAGTGACGATGACGATGCGGACTCCGATGACGTCATCAGCGATAATAACGATGACGATGCGGATGTCGGTGACGTCATCAGTGACGTCACTGATGACGTCATCTGTGATGATGACATGACGATGCGGATGCCGGTGAGGTCATCAGTGACGTCACTGATGACGTCATTTGTGATGATGACGATGACGATGCGGATGCCGGTGACGTCATCAGTGACGATGACGTCATCAGTGATGATGACGATGATGATGCAGATGCCGGTGACGTCATCAGTGACGATGACGTCATCGGGGAGGTCACGTGACCTCGGCGGGGGGGTCACGTGACCCTGGGGGTGGTCACGTGACCTCGGGGGGGGGGGGTTCACGTGACCTTGGGGGTAACGTGACCTTGGGGGGTCACGTGACTTTGGGTGTCACGTGACCTTGGGGGTCACGTGACCTTGGGAGAGGTCACGTGACCTTGGGGTGACCTTGAGAAGGGTCACGGGTTTCACGTGTCCTGGGGATCGCGTGACCTTTGTTTGACCTTGGTTACACCGAGGGCGACGGCGACGCCGACGCCGCTCAAGCCGGAAATGGGGGCCTAAGAGCTGCGCTCTAAAAGTGAAAGCCGTTTACAACTCCCTGAAACGCCGAATTGGAGCGCAGCTCTTGAGAAGGAGGAGGGAAGGGTACTGAAAGAGGGTAGACCCCTCCTCCTCCTCCTTCTCCTCCTCCCCTCATTCTTTAATATGCTCCGGGGGGTCACTTGACCTGGGGCGAGGGGGTCACGTGATCTCGGGGAGGAAGGGTGTCGCGTGACTTCGGGGGGGGGAGGGGGGTCACGTGACTACGGGGAGGGGGCCACATGACCTCGAGGGGTGACGTGACCTTGGGGGGTGACGTGGGGGTCACCTTGGGGGTCACGTGACCTTGAGGTGACCTTGGATGGGGTCACGTGATGTTGAGGTGACCTGGGGGTCACGTGACCTGGCACCTGACCTTGGGGTGACCTTGGGGGGTCACGTGACCTTGAGGTGACCTTGGTTGCGCCGACGGCGACGGCGACGCCGCTCAAGCCGGAAACAGGCGACTAAGAGCTGCGCTTTAAAAAATAAGAACCCATCTCGAGAAAGCAGCAGCTAGCGTCGACGGCGGCAGCAGCGAGCGACGGTGCGTCGGCAGGACAACTGACTATCGCTAGAGAGAATCAGTGAATGAACCGGCAACACCGCGCTCGGCTCCTTATATACTAAACTCGCCATCTTGAAGATTCGACCTGGGCCGCTGAACTCGCCAAACACAAAAGTTGGGACAGAAGCTCACGAAGGGCACCATTTGGCATTTCACGGTGATGGCTTCAGGTTTTTTTCGCCGCCGTCCAAGCGGCGCGCATAGCGCACTTTCGGCTCCAACTTAGTGTTTTACGAGTTCAGGGCCCTAGAATATTCGCGCGTTATGTAGGGTGAGAGAGACTAGGCAAGGTCATTCTGGCCTCCTTATTTTTTTCATAGAGGTAAGAATAAACACGAAACTTCAAGATGCACAGAGAAGTGTTTCTGCTTGGTCATGCACGCGGCAGTAAACCGTTTTTCTTGGTAGACAGCTTTTTATTTTTGTCACATTGAGGCACCGGACTAGCAACGACTCTTCAGGGCATTATCAATGTGTACTGCAGAACGGCAGTTACGCTCCGCGGTGCATTTGCTGATCAGATATCACCCTATTAAAGGGCTATACTAGATGGTTCCGACACCTCTGATAACAATGGCGATAATGATAAGATGCACGCGCAAAATATCGTGTTCGGTGCTATCGTAGCAATCTAGTAAAACTATATATTTTTCCAGATTCGTAGCAGTATAGTTAATTGAAACTTAAAACAAATATCGTTGAAAAATAATGCGTCGAGAGAGAGTTTCTTTCCAAGCAGGGTATCGGATGTCAAGTTTGTACTTTCCTGGACACTGTTAGCTATAACACCGCAGCAGCGGCCGTCCCGTACCCCCAGCGCCTCATAGCAGGCGCCGTCCGAAACTCCGCGCATGCGCCCTGTGGAGGACTCGCTCTTCCCGTTGGCGAGCACACCCTCGCTTTGTCGTCTGCTAGGCGCAGAGCAGGCGATGCCACAGTGCTGCTCGTCTGGTACCCTGGCCCTAGCGAACTGGTCTCAAACTGATTTTAAACCGGCGATTTTGATTGGGGGAGATCGCAGAGTCATTGGGGCATTAACCCTGTCTACGTTTTTTTTTTGTTTTTGTTTTTTTGCTTTTTCAGAAACAGTATTTTGCAATGCCTCTTTCACAATATGCGCTCACAAACCAGTATGAGTGCAGCAGGTGTGATACAGAAGGAGACTGTTATACTCCGTTTCACCTAAAGTCAGAATGCAGCATACGCTGCAAAACGACAGAGCCAATCAAATAGCGCAAAGGTGCAATGTCACGGAGAGCATCACCGGGGGACACAATAAGGTGCAAAAAGTGAGCTTTTATCGCTTTTGGTTGGCCCTATCGTCTCGTAACGTCCGCTGCGCTTAGACCTAAAGTGAAACGGAGTATAACTGCAAGTTAGTCCAATAAAAAAAGAAAAAAGTAGTCTACCGTGATATTACAATTAGGGGCGATGATTATCCTTAGCCAGCGGAGTCGGGGAATCAACCGTGGACACCTCTTACGCGGTGGTTTGCTGAACCGTGTTCAGGGAAAATTGGCAAGCGCTGTGGCGTCGTCTGCTCTGTGCCTAGCAGACGACAAAGCGAGGGTGTGCTCGCAGGTGGGAAGAGCGAGTCCGCCACACGGTGCATGCGCGGGATTTCGGACGGCGCCTGCTATGAAGCGCTGGGGGTACGGGACGGCCGCCGCTGCCGTGTTATAGCTAACAGTGTCCACGATAGTACATCAACCTTATTAGGCGATCTGTGATGTGTAAGTTCCACTCTACAAAAGTCAAGAAAGCTGTATTTTAATGATGTCATCAATCCTCACAAGTAAGACTCGTTCACTCATAAAGCTCAGCTCTAAATTAACAGCACAAACAGGGTTGATACAGCGCTGACTTGAAAGTATTATTGTGCTCATATGGCGCTTTTTTATGTTGTATCATTATTACAGCAAGTCAGAGCTGCGTCAGTGAAGTCAGTGCAATTTTTGTGCTAAGAGTGATAGTGCTGATATGTCGCCGTGTTGTATGTGTCGACGGGCCTTAGTAAATTGGTTTGGCTTTGCAACGGTCCCGATGTCCTTCTAAATCGCGCGTTCTCCACGAACGTTGGATGTGAAGGATTAATGCGCATCTTCTTGAGCACCCTTGCCTGTCTTGAGTAACGGTAAATTCATTGTGAAAATAAGAGACGGGTTGTAATAATAATAATAATAGTCTTTATTTTTATCTGTCCACAAACAGCACAGGAGCTTTCGTGTGGTACACAGCAAACGCTGACAAGATAACAAGTATCAGCACAGAGAAAACATAGGTATCCCAAAAAGAACTATCAAAACAAACATAGAACGCATAGCGACATCTGACAAGCAAGATAAGGTAAAAGAAGAAGAGGCACTGAAAATACAAATAAAGCAACCCCGAAAAAAAAAAGTTGGGTGAATTGCTATGATGACATAATGAACAGAACAGCGCACACAAAGACAAGGACAGACGAAGGAGGATGGAAAAGGGAGAACAGCGCACACAAAGACACTGTCCTTGTCTTTGTGTGCGCTGTTCTGTTTATCATGTCCTAAGAGACGTGTCCACGATCTGTGAACATCGCCAGCGGTAGCTAAAAAGCTTTCGGAAATCATTAGCACCAGTAAGCTTAACCTCACGTGTGTGTACCAGCCTCATGAATCTGGTAGACATATCTGAAACTAGATATATGTTTTTCATTAAGGCTGAAAGGGATTTCTTTAGCATGGTTTAAATTTTAAAGTGTAA